GGTTTCAAGATCCTCCTGGCGCAACGGAGCTATGTGTCCATCTGCTCTATCTGATCTACCTGTTCTACCTGACCTTTCTGATCTAAATCTTGTTATTTATTTTTTCTATCTATCTCTATCCATCTGATTGATGAATATGCAGGCAGCCATTCTGCAAGACTTCCTCAAAAGTGAAATTGGCAGAGCTGAAAGCGCAATTCTGCAAGACTTCCTCCAAAAATGAAATTTGCAGAGATGAAAACGCAATTCTGCGAGACTTCCTCCAAAAATGGAAGTTGCAAAGCTGAAAGCGAGGAAATTCTATGAGACTTCTTCAAAAATGGAAGTTGTAGAGTTGAAAACGAAGCAGTTCTGCGAGACTTACTTCATTTTCTTGAATGTTGGCTGCAGACCTTGCAGCTCCGTACTATCGCGTTTTGTGACTTTTTGATGTTGAGTGTTGAAAGTCCTGCGCCTGCCACGAAAAAGTGACGCCGAGTCATCCAAAGATTCCGAAGTGCTGCACCTGCCACGCAACATGATTTGCAAAATCTAAGAAATCAGAACTTCAAAGGTGCAACCCCTCTCACGAAATGAACGCTCCGACCTCTAAGCATGAACATGTCAAAGTTCCCAATATGCTGCCCCTGCCACGAAAAATGCAGCTTTTCTTCAAATCCCCCACGCCTGCCAACGTTTTTGGAGAGTATTTTTAAAAAAACACGGGGTTTTTGATACTTTTTGCAACGTGCAGAATTCCTTGCGCTTGCCACGAAAGATGCAGTTCTGACATTGAAAAGTGGCCCGGGCATGTGGGAACCTTGCGGTTTTGACTTACAAACCGGCACCGCGCCGCAACGAGAGCTCATTTTTCGACATCTCAACTTCCAAAAGCGGCTCGGTCCAAAAGCGGCTCGGTGCTGACACTTTTCGCAAATCGGCACTGCGCCACTACGAGAGCTCATTTTTGTCTAAGCTTTTCCAGCTGAGCTCTCCGCACCCGCCGCTTTAGCGAGCAAACTTTCTGAGCCTCCAGAGCCACCAAACATGGAAAAAACAGAGCATTTCGATGCATGTCGCGACTTTTCTACTCTTTATCTCGCACGTGCGCATCTCTTGATTGTCTATCTCTTGACAGATTAACATCTATCTTTTGACAGACTATTGCTGCAACTTTGGATATTGTCGGAAGTTTGACTTCTAAATTTCCTTCGATCAATGTTATTAGCTATCATGGTATGTCCATTGTTAAACTCTCGTTACTAAGATTGTTGAAATAGGTTAACTACCATTGACAATCACTGGCTCTTAACGATCAATGTACAACGATCATCTCTTGAATATCTTGATGAAAATGTCGCTCCAGGTTCGGAGAGCTCTTCCTGCCGCGCTGACATGTCGACAGCATGGCACATCTAACGGATACCTAAGATGTCGCAAATTGGAAGCGATGAACGATTTTTCGGAGAAAAACATGGATTCAGTCGCTTCATGTAACTGATTTAAAGGATCGGATATCGGCTGACATCCCACTTTGGTGTTGATGAAATTTAGATGTGAACCACGGGCAGCTTATAAATTCACTGCAAATGCTCATGGCTCATGGGAGGCTCACGGTGACATGTTTACTGCAAAAAGTTGAAAGGTCGAAGTCAAACCGCAAAAATCACAGGCAAATCGGAAACCATTTCCCAAAAAAAAACATGACGATCAGCCATCCGATGACTATCCGATGACATCCCGCAATGACTCTGGTGTCATCTGATGAGATTTTGAAGTGAACCACGAGCAACGGCAGCATCTAATTCATTGCAATTTTGAGATGCCATAGATGCCTACCTGCGCCACATGGCGGAGGTTTTTAGTCGAGTCACAAGCGCTTGGAATTTTTTAATCAACACCTGCAATGATTTTGTGCGCCTGGACGCATGTGATGCTTCTCTCCAGACGCGTGTGAATGAGGCATGGAATTTGTATCACTGCATGAAAACATGACAAAACCCATGATTTTTCATGTTGCATTCGCCAGTGTAACTATGCGTCACTTATCCTGGGAGAAATGTCGTTCTTTTCGGTCATGTTTGCAATGCTCGAAACCTTCAATGGTAGGGCCTTAGGCTGAAACCCAGAAGCATCAGAATCCTCGGAAGACGGCCACGCCAGACTGCAACCAGCAGAAACCTGGCTGGTCACCGTTTCACCTCGAAGATTACCCTTCGATGGGAGAAAACAGCTTAAGCGAAGTCAACCTGAAGGATCTCAAGTTTCTAGAAGGCTGTTGTGAAGATTCACTTGAAAATCTTCCAGAAGGTTTTCCTGAAGGTTTTTCCTAAAGGTGAAGATGTTTCAATCTTTCGAACTGGTCCCACAAACTTGTTTCGCTCTTCGACCTGTCGAATGTCGGATGAGTGCCCAACTCGGCGCTTCAGCTTGAGGCATTCGCAGAAACGGTGAAAATCGGAAAAAACGTGAAGCAACATCATACATCTAGCAACACATCATGCTGATATCGTAGCCTTAAAGGTTAGCGTGACTGTAGCGAAAGATTTTGAAAACCCTTCTTGATTTTGTATCAAAGGGAATCAAATGGCGCGTTTGTTGAAAACACAACGACGCAACTTGAGACTGCCGTTTTCGTAGGGACCCAATGCTAGAGGAAGATAAGGTGCTTGTAATTTTGCCTGGTCAACATTTGTCAATGTCTTGCCATGTGTTTGTCATGCAAGTTTCTGTGCCAAGGCACTCGGCGACTGCCAGTTTTTATTTTCAGGCCCCTTTCATGTCCTATGACTTTCAGAGTTTATGTTCATCATTTTCTCATCCATATCTTCAAAGTCACGTATATTTTGTGGGTTGTACTCATGTTTTTCATTGCGACTATCTTGTCGTTGTTCAAAGTCTCAACAAGTTTCATGTTTCGTTCATGGTCGTTCATGCATTCATCACCGTTCATCTTTGTTATTTATTGTTTAGTTGGTTAAGTTTTCACTTTCACATCCTTTTGAAGCCTCATACTGCATGATGGATCACATTGAGAGTGACGCTCAAAACCGACAGGGCCTTTGTGCTTGGAAAATTGTAGCTCTTCTAAGGGCAGCTTTTTGCGCCGTGGCAAATCTTAAAATGAAAACACACGAGGTCAGCGCAACATCAGACGTCTTTGTTTTGTCGTTGTGGGGTTCCTTGGCAGGCGATAACAAAAGTGCAGTCTTGTGGCATGTTTTCTTGCCGTTGGTCGCCTTATTCCGTTTTTCATTGCTGTTCGTTTTGCGGTTGAGTTGAGAATTCGCTTACATTATCTCCACAGCTGCAACAATATTTTGCATTTATCGGGTTGGAAACCAAGTGTAGCATGCACCGTTCTACTTTAAAAAGATGTTACGAAACAGCATCCAAAAAGCGAAAAAACGCAGACAGCTTACAGGCGCTTCCCCTTTGTTTGTGCTCGACGCGTCCCATTGTTCCCACCATTGTTATTTTTTCGATTTTTTTCGGGCCTAGTTTTTACTATGTCAATGGGGATGGATAGTAGGTGTGAGGCGCATGTTTCATTTTGACAAGCTGTAGTTTTCAATCCGGGGCTTCCAATAACCGCTTTGTTTCACCACGAAACAGCCCAGTGGAACTTTGGTATTGCGTCATCCGCAGCTACGGGGTGATTTTGGGTGCCTAATGCTTGCTTGATCGTTTTTAGGTTTGTTTTTAGTGGCGCCGGGTTGCGGCTACCAAAAGGGGCAACTTTTCCACAAAAAAAAATGTTTCAAGGTCCCCAACGATGAGCTCTTGTGGATTGTTTGCCAGAACCGTGATGGGATGAAAACAGATGTGACATGATGTGAAATTAATGACATCCATTGACATCCATTTCAAAATTCGACAAAAACACGGAAAAAAGTGAAGAAAACTGGCGGTGGAACAGCATTTCAACCTGTCAAACGCTTGGACATTCGCCTCTTTGGCTCGGAAGCTGCCGAAGACAACGTGCCTCCGGCGCCATGCCGTGCCGTGCCATCCGTGGCCTCCATGTCCTCGTGGTGTTGGCCTTGACGCCTTCGTCGGCGGCTCAGGGCGGAGCGGGAAGATGTGTCCGTTCGAAGGTCAACCCAGTGACCGAACTGGCAGTGACCAAACCGCCAACAGGCCAACAGGTCCCAGTGATTTTGAGATGATCGAGATGGTTGAAGGAAAAGAAAGATGAATTTGGAAACAACGACTTGCAAAAAACAAAGACGTCATGCTGGGGTCCGAACCAGTAACAAGCAGAACATGTAACAACTCCAAGGACGTGCCTGTTTTTGTTCGCGAATTTCCATCATGACCGACATGATCCAGGTCCATGGCTGGCATGGAAGCCAAGGCCAGGTCAAGACCAAACTGCACATCGACTGATTTGTTGAGATCTACATGAGATCATCTATGAGATCATCTCAATGAAATGATTTATGAGATCATCTCATGATTTTCTACTGATATCCTGCTAATATCCGCACTGATATCCGAGATATCTCCACTTGCAGTATGATCAAATCCTGCTGATATCCCACTGATTTCGTCACAGAAATTTATAGCTTTGTCATTCTGCGTACTTTTTTCGGTCTTGGACACGGGTGTCGGCCTTTTCCACGAAGCATGGGTTACCGTTTTTTGACATTTGACATTTCGGTTTCTTTTTTCTGGGTGAGTAGAAAGTGTGTTCTGTGGCACCGCATGTTTTCCCTTTCGTAGCTGCCGGCAGAAGTCGCAGCAAGAGATCGTCAGGCCAACACTTGGCACAAAGTCACGGCTGCCGGTGCCCCAACTGCGCGGTATAGGCACACGGCAGTCCTAGATTCGCAGCAGCGGATGTGGATCTTCGATGGCTTTAGCAGTTGCAGCCCCAGAAGTCCAAGCGATGCGCACTGAGTGACACTTTTTGCTGTGCGTGGGTGCCATGTGGCCCTAAGGTAAATGGCTGAATGACCTGCACTACTTCAGCATTGAGGCAAAGAAGGCGGGGAGAGTTTGCGCATTGAGTTGTTTTTGCTCTGGTTTTTCTGCGTTCATGTTCCAGTTTGCTGGGTAGAGCTCGATTAGTGACTTGACTACTCGATAGGTATCGCTCTTTGTTGTTGCAAATCTGGCATTTAGATTGTTTATAGAAGCTGCTGTGCAGGGTGCAGTCTGGGGAATGTCGTCGGTGATATGCATTGATAGTGCGGCATGGCAGAATGCGTAACAATCACAACGGCAGACAGGGGTGGTATCCGATGATACAAACGAAAAAACAAGTCAAATGGTTCGGTCAATTTTGCTTTTCATCTTGCTTCAGCCTTTCGGTGCTCAAGTTTTTCAGCCTTTTTTTGGCCGTTTTCGTTGGTTCTTTGTGTTCTTTGTACCATCTGCGGCTTTGGTCGGTTGTATGAAGTGACCCAACCTGTGCATGGGAAAATGGCATGGTCCTTGATCCATGATTTATGATCGAATTTCCGGGTCCTGCAACCTTGAAAATAAAGATCTATAGGCGTTTTCCATAGCAAACAGGCGACAGGATTGTGACGCTATGTTTTCATGTGTTCATTCGTTCGAATCGTTCGAGCTGTGACGACACCCTCTCAAGACTCAAGCCATGAGCGACCCATGAGCGTCCAGCCCCAAACCACCAAGAGGTGTTAAAAAATAGTGCCATCATGTGCCATCCCCGCTGTTTAAAGCCTTTCTTCTAGCCCACGCGGCTCGGCAATCTATGGGGATGATCCTTTAAATCAACACATTATTTTAATGATTGGATTGTAACTCCTTACCGTCCTTTCCACTGGGAACTGTTGGAGACATACCCTATATATCTCCTGGGATCCAAGATATCCAAGATGATCCAGGTATGCTGCGGTATTCTTGGCACTTCGCCTGGATTCTTGCTTCTTTTGCTCAAGTAGACTGCGTGAAAAGCCATGCGTTCCATGCGCTGAAATGCTGCAATGAAGTTTTGCTTGATAAACAAAGCCTGCGGATGCTTCTTCTTAGGAGCAGCTGCTTGGTCCTGCAATTTATGTGACTAGTTTGGTGTGATTTCAGCACTTAGAACAAGTGGGTAGGTCCCCGCTAGTCTAGTCACTAGCGCATACCATGTGGCTGCATCTAATTCAATGCAGGATGCTTGATGATATTTGGAAGTCCCTAACTCTGGGACACACGCCCCCTGTCAATCACTCTGAGTGGGTTCTGCACTCCAACTGCAGTTACTCGTACCAAGCTTTTCATGGGGGTTGGACGGTTCCACCAGAGAACCGTCCTATGTGATTAAGACGCCAAAATGGAAAGCAACATGTTCATTGAAGGGCCCGAACTATGTGTATTCAGGTTGTGTGGTTTTGTGCCTATCTCATGCGGGTCTCCTCTTTCATGTACTGGGTTGGTGATCGTTTGCCAATCCTCCCGGCCGAACTGTACTCACAATCCATCAACCTGAAACGAGGCCGTTTTGGATGATTCCGCTAGCTCACTACCATCTATCAAAACGTCATGTTTTTTTGATCATTCACCCTTGTATATCCTTATGAATATATATATATATTAGGTACCAGTGACTTAGGACTTGTGAAAGATACCCTGGGGTGGACAAGTCCTATCTCATCATGCTTCAGACCCCCCCTGCACAAGTCCCAACTCATCAGGTGTCCGTATGAGATTAGAAACTATGCTTGATTTTTTTGTGCGGCATGGACCACTCGTAAAACCAGGATGACATAGGAATTAACTAGCAGAAGTATACTAAGATGATCCTAAGTCATCACGCTCGTGTGCTGCAGCTATTTGGCTATTTGGCCCATCTTCAAAAAAATATTTCAAAAATCTGTGATTTTCTTTTTTCTTCCTTCGATTTATGTACAGGCATTATTCTAAAGCAATTTAAAAAAATATGAATATTTTTTTTTGTTTTTTTTTTTCACTTTTCATTTTTCTCTGTTGTTTCTCTGTTCCTGTTTTTTTCCCGTTGTGCTTCCCTATTGTGGTCCCTGTTGTCTTACCCCGTTGTTCACCCCACTGCGGCGCCACAGGGACTGCAGAGGCAACCGGGAACTGCTCGCTTTCATTTTCCACCAACGCGCGCGCGCTGGCGCAAAACGCTCACCCCGACTTGTTGCATTGGGATCACCGCCCCGGGGAGACACCACGGGGAGACACAACGGGGAGACACAACGGGGAAACAAAACGGGGAAACAAAACGGGAAACAAAATGGAAAAATGAAAACAAAAAAAAATAGAAAATTTATTTCTATAAATGTTAAATCTATTTAATAGCTTGAAAACAATGTATGTATATAAATCGAATGAAAAATTGATGACTTAGGACTTGTGCCCATCTGCAAAAAAAAAACAAAAATCTGTGATTTCCGTTTTTTCTCCTTCGATTTATGTACAGACATTATATATATGCAACTAAATAAAATATTTTTTTTTTTTTTCACTTTTCATTTTTCTATGTTGTTTCCCGTTTTGTTTCCCCCGTTGTGCTTCCCTATTGTGGTCCCCGTTGTATTACCCCGTTGCACTACCCCGTTGTTGCGTCGAAGTCCTCGAGCCAACCGTTGCGAAAACTGATGACTTAGGACTTGTGCCCATCTTCATAAAAATAGTTCAAAAGAAATGTGTGATTTTCATTTTTTCCTTCGATTTACATACAGACATTATTTTAAAACAATTTAATAAATAAAGAAAATACATACATTTTTTTTTTCACTTTTCTCTGCTGTTTCCCGTTTTGTTTCCCCCGTTGTGCTTCCCTATTGTGGTCCCCGTTGTATTACCCCGTTGCACTACCCCGCTGTTGGGTCGAGCCAACCGTTGAAAAAATTGATGACTTAGGACTTGTGCCCATCTCTTCAAAAAAATATTTCAAAAATATGTGATTTTCATTTTTTCTCCTTCGATTTATGTACAGACATTATTTTAAAGCAACTAAATAAAATAAAAAATCTGTTTTTTTTTGTTTTTTTTTTCACTTTCATTTCTCTGTTGTTTCCCGTTTTGTTTCCCCGTTGTGCTTCCCTATTGTGGTCCCCTTGTATTACCCCGTTGAGCCAACCGTTGCGAAAACTGATGACTTAGGACTTGTGCCCATCTTCAAAAAAATAGTTCAAAAAAAATCTGTGATTTTCATTTTTTCCTTCGATTTACATACAGACATTCTTTTAAAGCAATTACAGAAATAAACAAAAATATAGATATTTTTGTCATTTTCGAAATATTTTTTGGAATATATTTCTTTTTTTAAATATGCATTATTTTTGTTTATTTATTTTTGTTTAACGTATTATGTATTGTAATGTAGTGTAATGTACTGTACTGTACTGCAATGTACTGTAAGTATGTAGGTTCTGATGACTTAGGACTTGTGCCCCTCTAGTGACAGACGATTTTGTGCACCAAGTCCTGTGCATGTATGTAATGTAATGTACTGTAATGTGCTATAATGTAATGTAATGTACTGTAGTGTAATGTGATGTACTGTACTTTACTGTAATGTAATGTAATGTACCGTAGTGTGATGTAATTTACTGTACTGTAATGTAATGTAAGTATGTAGGTTCTGATGACTTGGGACTTGTGCCCCTCTAGTGACAGACGATTTTGTGCACCAAGTCCTGTGCATGTATGTAATGTAATGTACTGTAATGTACTGTACTGTGATGTAATGTACTGTAGTGTAATGTAATGTACTGCACTTTAATGTAATGTAATGTAATGTACTGTAGTGGAAAGTACTGTACTGTACTGCAGTGTACTGTAAGTATGTAGGTTCTGATGACTTAGGACTTGTGCCCCTCTAGTGACAGACGATTTTGTGCACCAAGTCCTGTGCATGTATGTAATGTAATGTACTGTAATGTGCTGTAATGTAATGTACTGTAGTGTAATGTGATGTACTGTACTTTACGGTAATGTAATGTAATGTACCGTAGTGTGATGTAATTTACTGTACTGTAATGTAATGTAAGTATGTAGGTTCTGATGACTTATTAAGAGAAGATTTTTTATTTTTTTTAACCCGAAAAAGTGCTTAAGTCCAATCATAACCCCAGTGACTTAGGACTTGGTGCACACAAATCACCTGGTAAGAACACCAGTCACTTAGGACTTGGTGCACAAAGTCCTATGTCACTATGGTGACCTAAGTCCTAAGTCATGGGTGCCTATTATATATATACATACATACATACATAATTTCCAACTTCTGTCGGTACATACATACACGTACACATGTAGATGCATAAATATGTGACCTTCAAATAAGCACAAATATAAGAGAAACATGAACACTGATCTAAATATATGATTGGCATTTGAATATGACCATGAAAACAATCGCGGATACACATGAATATAAATAAACATGTGAATGTAGACGCAAGATGACACAAGTATGAACGAAAACGTAGATAAATACATACAAACACAGAGGTAAATATAAATCATAGACGTAACACACAAATAAACACATATTTTCGTTCACTCTAGATTCAAACAAAGATGGATACATAGATATAGTTTTGTGGACAACTCTTGATTGCTTGATGCAGCTCAGGCATCCTGTGGAATCCTCATTCAAGTGTTCACCCGGTTCACCCGGCCTCGGTCATTGTTTTATGACCAGAAGCAGGCCAGTCAGCAATGGTCAGCCCATTTTTGGGAACCCAAACGTGATGATAACTCACGGCTTCACTGGGCTCATAGGCTGACATATCCACTCAAGTCATAAGTCCAAGGTCCTTTTAAATTGTGCGAAAGGTTGCCGATGGTGCTTTGAGCAAGACTCAAGCGTCTGACATTGGTCACAGGTGCTATTTGAATGGGTAATCACCAAAACATACCCACAAGTAGCTGGCCAATGATCCGTTCATCTATGAGATAACCAGAGATAAACCCAGCGGAATCTATCGCCACCTTCCTCGCAATCCAATGGTGAGCCATCAACGGCTGGATTTTGCGGGATCACCATTTCCTCACACAAAGGGTGAGATCATTTCATCGATGCCTTTATACAATGGATAAACCTCTGGGGTTTCGGCGTCCATCATTCTGGGAAACACCAATAAATCCAAAGCGCTTGAGATATGCCCAAACTTTGTCCTATTGTTTTGGTGTTATGGATTATTCCCTGAGTGCCCATTGTTGCTGAACATGTAGACATGTACCCCATGAGAAACGCACAAATATCAATTAGGACTTTAGGACATGATACGTTTTGCTTCAATCCTAGCACCGTACACCGACTATATACCAATGGTTGTTCTTGTTTCGTTTGCACGTCTTGCTCCGATCAATTTGTTGTTGGCTGTTCTGTACGTTGTCTCCGCACCACAAAGCCGCATAATGACCATTTTCCTAGATAACAGATTCTCAATTTCACACTTGTTTCTAAGTTTCTTATAGATTCCACATCAGCATTGTACATCAATGATCATGTCCGAATCTAGATCCTGCACCGCCACAACCATTTCCCAATTCGGAGGTGACCACGGTGACCACCAATCGCCCCACGCCCTTGTTGCGCGTGGCACCTTTGCCGCTGCCGCTGGAGCACCCAGAGCGCCCGGCCCGCCCGGCCCGCCCGGCCCCCACTGCGCTGGCGTGGACACCACCGCTGCGAAGCGCTGCCAGCACCGTGGCGAAGTGCGAACTGCCTCCTGGGGGACGATGGGTCACTGGGTTCTTTGGAAACGTTTTCTGTTTCGGGAACCAGTTTTTTGGGGAAAAAAAATTGCACCAAACTTTTGGGAGAGGTGACTCCAAAAGAGATGTGGATGATGTGGGATAAAAACCTATTGCACAGCCATTTTTAGGGGACAACACCAAGAGTTTTGGGATGGGATGTGGTTGGTTTGTGCAAGGAATGGTCATTGGTGAAGCGCAAATGACCCACGAATTTTCGGGGTTGAAGCAACGAGGCCACTGTGCAACTGACTGGTCTCACGCCCTTCCAGATGGCCGTGTACGCCTCACATGACATCGTGAGTTCCAGTGTGAGCTTCCGACACAACTGGGAGCAACTGGATGTGAGAAGATTTGGGATGCTTGGCAACTACAGCCTATTTCGTTGACAAACAGAGGGAACGAATTCAGATCCGGGTTCTAGTTTCGAACGAATGGATTTATCATGACTTATTCACCAAGGATTGGAACACCAAGAATTAAACTACACTACATACACAACATTCAACTGGCCCATGAGCAACAGATATGGGAACACACCCAGCAAGTTCTGATGGATTTCTGGTCTCAGGAAACCTGGGCATGCCTGTGACATCGGTGGCAACATCGGCTTCTACACCTTTGCCTTGGCAAAGGCTGCTTGAAACAAGCAGGGAAGAAGAACATGACATTCTGGAAGATGATGTTTATAGGGATATAAAATGTGATTTCCACTTCCAATCTTATCTCGGGCAATATAGGTTTAGACCAAACACATCCAAACACAGTACAAAGGGATTTTGGTTCTAGAGGTTAAATTGGCAGGTCAAATATCTTCATTTTTTCCACGATCCAAGCAAAATCCATGTTCCCACTGTGGTGTCTTTTCACATTGTCATGGAACTTCAGCCCGAAAACCCACCAGATTTCTGAGTTTCAACACATGATCCAATTCTACATGGAACATTTGGACCATTTCTATATACGGGGATCATTTCCAAAAATCCAATTTCTATATGATGTGGGGTACCTCAATTTTGAATCATTTCCCCAAATATGGAGGGCTTTTTGGATATTTTTTTTCAGTGACCTGCACCCAAAAATGGGCTGAGGCGGGATGGAACCTGACCACCTTCGAGGCAATGCCTAGCAACGTGGCGTTGATGAAGGCCACCTTGTGCGCCAACGAAGAGCTGCAGGAACGAGTGGATCTGCACCAAGTAGGTGACATGGCATGACATGGCTATGGCGGCATGGCGGGTTTTAGAAAAACTGTAGTGCCTAGGATAATAACTGGGGGAGATGTGCTACAACTGGCTTGCGCATATATTAGCTATTACTGGGAAAAAATCCAAGTAGGGGCGTGGAGTTGGCAGGCTTCAACTTTTTTTGACCAAGTCCTGTGTTTGGGATGATCTTTGGATCAGGGTTGGAAGGCTGTGGAAGGGTTGGGAGAATCTGAAGATCTTGGTGGGTTGAAAGATTGGGTTAGTTAGAAGATAGATGAGATCTACATAATCCAGATGAGGTTTGGGAAGATTTGAACCGCGTGAATGCCGCGTGAATGTGTTTGAGGGTTGGGGCACATGGACCAAAATTGGTATCATAGCAGACTGCATCCTGGATGACCTTGGAGTTGAACATGGTGACCACCTGGTGGAGGTCATGGTAGAATTAGATTGTAGAGATTCTGCTTTCACAGTCAAGGACCACAGATCTAGGGGAATTTTAGTAAACCATCCCATTTCTGAGCCCAGAACCCCTCAGATGGTTGGCAGCTGATCACCAGGCTTGGGTGATGCTCCTGGTCGATGTAGCCTCATGTCGGATACCATCAATGTGGGCGATGGCATTGTGGTCTGTCGCACCATGCAGGATCCCACCAAGAACATCCGCGCACAGTTTGCTTTTCGAACTGAGTTCGAGGCAAGGGCTCGGGGCGGTTCCAATGGTGGCTTCCAGTGTTTGGGTTCCCCAAAATTCATCATTTGATAGAACTACATCAGTGGAAACCAATGCTTGAAATACCAGTCAAAGTGACGAATTATAGATTCGTAGCAGGCTTGGCCCTTCCCATGCTTTGATGGCCTAGATCCCTTTTTTGGTCTTCTCTTTGATGGCCCATCCTGCTTTTTTTCATTGTTTTTTCAGGATCCAAACTCACTCATCATTGCTGACCTGGCTGTATCCCAGGTCTTGTGGGTGATCATTCTCCCTTATTGCCGGTTAACAGCACACACCATCTTGTTGGTTGCCAATCAGCTACCATTTTTGGCGACACCCAGATTTTTCATGTCAGAAATGCCCCAATCCTTGGGTCTGCAAAGTTGGAGGGATTTTGAATGTGGCTTCGATCAGACCTACTGAAAGTTCCAGCAAGTGGATGGAATCGCTTCACCATTTGGAGCTCTGGGTTTGTCCAAAAGCTGGGGGACCAGAACACAGCTAGATTAAATTACAATAATTACACGACAGGTTATTTTATTTCAGTAAGGAAACACATGGTGACTTCATCAGACTTCATCCTACATTTTTGGACACTCCCGTCGTTCTGATATGCTCCTGATAAACATGGCAGCTCTTGGCTCCATTCTTCCAGGGTCCACACTGGACACAACGGCACAGCCGGGTACATGACATGAGTACGGTACAGCTCACCATGCACACCAGACATTTGGAAGTCCAGAGATTCAAAGGATGCCCAGATATTTATAGAGCGGGAACCCTCATGGGAATAGCCGCGATTACTGAGATGAAAAATGTGGTTTCTTAATTTCTATCATTTTTGCTTTGCCATTTGGCCATGGGGAACCATTGACACTTTAGATCTCAAGAACTTGTTGCTACGCTGCGCTATTGATGCCATGTCAGCTGCCATGTCAGAAGCAATGGCAACCGCTGGAGACTCCGTAACGACGACCGTCAACTTCTTGCTGCTTCACGGCCTTCGCGGCTGTGGGAAACGCATGGTCCGGCGTATGCAGGAGATGCTCATTTTGGGGGTCATTTTTGATGTTTTGTCACATTTTGTCACCACCAAACATGGGGGATTATGGATTTTGATCACAATTCGACACCATCAAAGATGGGGATTTTTCATTCAAATGACAGGGCCTTTTTTTTTTGCACCCAACATTGGGATTTAAGCACCAGTCATGCGAATGTTTTTTCCCCAATGATTTTGATGCAGAAACACCAAGTGGGTGTGACATGGTGTGACTCACCATAAAAGTCGATCTCCCAAATTACAGTATATTTTTTTTGCTGTCCGCTAAACTTCGACTCAGGGCAGTGCCAGGGTGGTGATATGTGAGGTGTTTCACAATGATGAGAACATGGCGTTAGTTTACCCATATTTACCCATAGAAGAACCACTCAGCGGGGCTGGTATCCACCAGCGATTTTTCTTCCAGGATGTACTGTACCGGCATACCTTGCTGGATCACATCTACATGGACTTCGTAGACGCCCCTGGGGGCCAAGGCAATTGGGGGTACGATGCACTCGATGCAGCCAGTGAGATACCTGACCCACTGAAGGTGACGCAGTCAGTGGAAAGATCTGTGGCCATGGTGGAAGCCAAATTGCAGGAAGCTTATGAAGAGGGCTATCCCTTTCATGCAGTGCTGGCCTATTCTCAGGGGGCTTCCCTGGCAGCCTTAGTGGCGTCACGGGTATGCCATTTGGAAAGTTGCAAGGATTTGAAGTGGATCTTAATGGCTGGAGATGCTTCATTCTTGTGGGAGCTGGGGGTTCAGAGCCCGATTCCGGTCGCGTCATTGCACATTGCAGGCAGAAATGACTGGACAGTGCCGTTTCACGAAGCTTGGAGGCAGAAAATGGCCATGGATCGCTGGGAAATGAATGTCCATTCCTCCAAATCTTGGGATTCCGTCATTATGGGTTTGACCCCACCCCAACTGATTCAACGACGTGATACGTTGTTATTGTAAACGATTGGCTGAACTAACGGTCCCTTCAAGCTATTTTGGGGCATGGCATGAGGACAATTTGTTCCATCTCTGCCGAGTCAATCGTGTTGCCCAACGGCCACACCATTTCCACCACTCGCAATCAGTCAGCCACTATCAGCCACTCAGGAATCCGAAACTTTGTCTCGTTTCTTCGTGGAGCCGCGCTTTTTCGAGCATTCTGGTGGCCATGAATTCTTGCCAGCGGACACCTTTTTGCAAGTCGTTGATTTCCTAGACTTGGCCGTGGAGTGTTGCTGGTGTGGAAGGAACTCCGAAGGCATCGAAGGCATACGCTTCCACATGTTTAGTCGGAGAGCATTTTGCAACACCTGCTGGGTTGCCTATGGAGGTCCATGGGGTTATTGGCCGAATGCGTGACAGCGCCGTTGGCATGGAGGAATCGTGTCCCCATGGAACCAGAAATGTCCACACAGTGGGGCCCCGAGCCACCCTGAAAGGTTTTACGGTAAACGCCAAGGATTTGGTGTTGGGTTGGAATGATAGGACCCTGAAACTAGATGGTTGATGTGGTGATTGGGTGATATTTTGGGCCACCATTGACGTGGAGACATCTGGGATTGTCTCAAAATTTTGAAACCATCAATTCCCCATATCATTTCTCGATATTTATCATGGTTTTCCACGCTTGATGTTGCCATTTTCATAGAACTGGATGATGGGAAAATTTACAGGAAACCCCTACATTTGATGGTAAAAACCCATGGGTTTCCTGTAGATTTTCCCAACAAAACCAATCCATTGCCATTTTGGGTATCCACCATTTTGAGACAGACCCAAAATGCGCCGTTCTTTGACGAGAATCGTCCGCAAAAACCGGACCTTGTCGCCGTGGTGCACCAAAGTTGTGCCCACCAAGGGCTGCGTCGAGGTCCGTGGTAGACTTTTAAAACACAGTGATGGGGGATGCAATACAGCTGAACAACCATGAGGATTAGTAAACTTATTGGTAAAATCATGTAAAATCATGTAAAATACATATATAAATACTATAAAGGGATCTTTCAACGTAGTACAGTATTACCATCAAAGAAATGGGAGAACCAAATGGACAATCTGACACCTGAGACTCTCGCTGCTCCCAGCTGGTTGGATCGCGGGGTGACGAATCTATGGAGAGATTGGAGCCAGTTTCTCCTGTTGTTTTGTTCATGGAATTGCCGTGAAATCCCAAGCTGTGGCAATGTACAACCCAGCGAAATGTGCCTGCGACCGACAAACAGGCAGAGCAAGACGTAATTTCAGACCTGCAGAGCATCCTGTGATGCCAAGACAAGCAGAAACCAAGGAACTTCAGCCGGATTTGAATAGTTTGGTTTGACCGGACCAATAGTGATAGGCAAAATTCCATCGTCGTTGTTGATCGTTCCATCCCATTTTGTTGCTTGGACCTCCAAATTTATTGGTGAACCCCTCATTATACTTTCTTCACTCAGATTGTTGCTAAAACTTCCCATGTTTTTCCTCTAAAGCCCCCTTATCTCATCACCTGAATCCAGTATTGAAACCCACTATTTAATCCATTTCAGTAACATTTCACCACGTTTTTCCATATTTTTGGCTAAACTCACCATTCTTCGGATCCACTTCCCCAGGTGAAGCGCTTTGATGAGGTCTTCCCGCAGGGACGTTTCGCAACGCTGCCCATCGACTTCGTGAAGATCGACGTGGAGGGCTTCGAGTGCAAGGCCCCGGAACCCGGGCCCTGCCGTTGAGTCCGTTTTGAGGTGTGGTTGATGGGTATCATAGATTATATAACATGGATTTGTATGGATTAGCATGGGTCAAGACCCTTGGCATTAAATGTTTTTAAATGTTTTTCACATCAAAATAGTCAAAATAACTGGTAAATTGATGTTGATCAGGTATCAACATGTATCAAAATGTGGTTTTTTATAGGTTTTCATCCATTACCAAACGAGTCAAATCGGGGCATATTTTGGCAGAACGATGGGAGCTGGACACGGGAGCGCAGGTCTTTCAGGGAGCGCACGAACTCTTGAGCCCCGGCGATCGCAATTCTGGTTAGTAGTGATGGGTACTTGCAATACGTTCAAATTGAATAATGTTAATGAACTAGAATAAACTACGCTTATCCGTCATTATCATTATGAATAAACATGAATAAACTACGTATATCCGTATATCATTATCATTCATTATCTATATATATATATATCATCTATTGTTTTTTCTTTTGATCAATGACGATACTACTCATAATACGCACAACAATAGCTACAGCAATACTTGATGATGATGGTGATGGTGATGATAATGATGATTGATGATGAAAAGAAAGATCATCATCATGGTCATAGCCCAACTGTTATTTGTTTTGGGGGTAGGGGCCACGAAAACCTTGAACCAGGGGTAAAGTGCGGCCCGAGGCTGGTAGTTTGAAATTTCACGGCTCCCTTTATGAGGGTAAACCACCACCACAGAGCAGACGCTCCTGAAAAAAGGAATGACGATGGTACCGAATGAAAACGGAGACCGCTTGAAAGCTGGCTGGGAAACCGTTCACCCTTGGAACTGTTCTTTTTTCCCCTTCACCTACAAGTTTGCAGAAACATACCAAAATGGAAACTCCTCATTTTACATGGGGTTCTTCAGCATTCTTATTTTCTTCCACTAAAGTAACGCCAAGTGTGCCCCCCCTTTGGCTCAGGAAACAGGCGCCGCACATCATCCAAAGTGAGGTGTGGGGCACGATGCAGGGATGTACTCCTGCAGAGTACTTGAAATTATTTACGGAAGCGGGATACCGCGTCAAGCGGGACGCTGGATGCAGCATGGATGTGAACTTGAAGCAGTTACCTGTAGCAGGACAAATCGTTGATTACTGGATGTGCCATTAGAGAGGTCTCGATTTTATAGAAGTAGTAAGTAAAAACAAAGGAGGTGAGACTACAGCAAGATTTGGGTTACATTCATAGGCTGCGTTTCGGCCAACCATTTTAGGGCCTCTCCAAACCACCCCTTTTCATATCCAGGGTAGGTGATCACCATGTGAGCATCCTGTTCTAGGGATCTTGAACATCACCTTTTTTTTTGAATGTAGATCAATCTCAACTAGCTACCTCACGTTTCTTCCAGAAAAACCAGGGAAACCCTGGTGAATGGTTGTGAAATAGATTTCTTGGAACTTTGTTTTGAGATCCAACTTTTCTTGTGTCTAAACCTAGATCTAAGATCTGTGGCACGTTTTCCCACGGCAGCTTTGAAGACACGGAGCTGCCGTGGACGGAACGGGCCAAAGACCCGAAGAGCGGGGCGGGCCAAAAAATGCCCGCTGGGGCCGCCGAGTCGCTGATGGTGAAACCCATGGGGCCCACAATGGCATGGTTTGTTGATGAAACCCATGGGTTTCAATGGGAAATTCAATGCGGGATATACATTTGGATTATTGTATATTATTGTATGGTGATACACTGGTATTTTTTAGCATCCAACTTTGGTCAAAGCATGTCAAAACATCCAATTGTTTGGCTGAAATCCGGATTTCTCTTTATGAAACTACCAAATTATATTCGATAAGACCCGGATTCTTGTTGGTCAACCCCCCTATTTTTTGAATACAGTAATTGATGTAATTGAATCCCATTGATTTCAGTTTGTAAACTAAGTCCCTTTCATCAATAGTAAATCAGAGTGGCTACGAGACGTCAGGTGAGCCCAAAGTTGTTCCATGCGCTGGTTGCAGGGAGGCTCAGCAGCTCAGCAAAACTTGGGGATTGAACCAACAAAACTTGCAATTTTTCCCCAACGTTGGCATGTTTTTTTTTTTTTTCGTTTTTTTCAAACATGATGTTATTATGAAACACTTCACAAAATTCACAAATGGCTCTGTTGCATAGATATGCTCTTCAGCAGTGAAACATATGGCGTCATCATTGTCCCACAGCTTGGGACTTTATTAGCCAGGGTGAGCCATCCATCACTAAGTTCCCGCAGACTCGGGGCAAAAGAGGTAAACATGTTTGAAATTCCATAGTCACCATACCAACAGCTTACTGTATCCCCATTGTGCTGGCTACACTGCCATTTTGGTCGGGTGTAAGCAGGGTTGACAACGACTTTTACTTGCAACTGCATAGAAAAAGTTTTGATGGCATCATGCGTTGCGAAAATCCTCACTATGGCATTTCCTGCATGATCACCTTGAACATTTGAGACTGACACCAGGGACACTGAATACTCACCACTTCCTAAGCGCAACCACAGCAACGATCTGCAACTCAGCATGGATAGCTCCGATCTGCCATCCTCTCCAGGTCAGACCGAGTTGTGTCACCCGCACTGAAAAGAAATGATGCCATGACGTGACGGGGAAGGGGAGGTATAGCTGTATAGCTGGTACACCCAGGTGTCCCATGATGGTACAACGAACCGTTCTTTTGGTGGGTCCATGGTGGAATTTTGGCACCTAAAATACGCTACAAGATGCTAAAACCACTTGAGATTATCCTTATGTGATTGGGAAGATTGCAAACGACGCCCACTTGGTCAGTTTCGCATTTTTAGTTTCCCTACTTTGAGAATAGTCGTTGAAGGGCTATGGAGGACACAAAATTGTAGTTCGAAGTGTCCCCACCCAAAGGAAGATCCAGCACAATCTATGAAGAAAGTCGGAGGTTGTTTAAATGGGCACCCACAAGGATGATAGACACCCAGTGCCAGTGCCAGATACGCTATATATGCAGGTGCTGTGCCATGGCCGAACTGTAGGGAATTGCTTGAAATCAACTCCGAAACCGCGGGTTCAGACCTGGCACCCGCCCCGACCCCGGTGGGGCGGTGGGGCGCGGGCGGAATGAAGCGAGGCACGGGGACACCGACATCTCCGCTCCTATTTTTTGTTTGAATTGGACCTTGGGTCACTTGGGTCACCAGTAGGATACAGTAGGATAACCAGTAGGATAACCAGTAGGATAGCCAGTAGGATAACCAGTAGGATAACCAGTAGGATAACCAGTAGGATACAGTATGTCTGTAGATGTCTGTTGTATTTTTTTCCTGAAAAATATCTGCGTCGTCGCAGCGTTACGCCAGGTGCACTTTGTCTGCTCCTCTTTCTTCCACTGCAGGCGATCGTGTCAAGACGACAGGCCAGGGTCGTCATGACATTGAGCCAGGCCTAGATTGGGGTATGAGCCTATAACATCCTATAACAATGCAATCATAGTCACACTCAGTGGGGGTTTAGAATGCAAATCACCATTTTCTGGCTATGGCTATGACATTCAAGGAACATCTGATGGGCGATTTCTCGAAATTTGTGCTTTTTATATCACTTACACAGAGGACGAATCCAAAGGACGAGCTCTCATATTGAGATTTCAGAAACACCCAGATTTTCAAGTCAATTTGTTTTTTCGTTGGATGTTTGATATCTCTCATTAAACGCCCCCTTTGCCACACTTGGATGATCATCATTCACAAGAATGTCTCGCTACAACTGAAAATTTAGCGACAGCAACAGCCTGACCCTGTCTGTCTCTGCGGGGCAAGCAGCATGTGAGGCATCACCCGTAGTTTAGTCACAAACACATTGGACATCTGACATGCAGAACTGCATCAATACTTATTCGATCTTAGTAGGATATACTCGCCGCCTTTCAACCCCGATTGTTGGCAGTTCATGTCACCCAGGATTGCTGGTTGTTCCATTGATTGAATCTCCAAAACATCATCAAACACCTGAAAAGATTTCTTTCACAAACTTAGAACCTCCACCTTTTTCCCCCATGTTTTAAATGTTTTAAGCCACAAAGATCCCATAAAGCCATACCATTCCAACTTTTCCCCCATTTCTTGCGGCCACCAGTGGCCACCAGGCCAGTAACAGCAGTCGTCCAGCCCTGGACTCCTGCGCCTGCAGCTGTTGCGCCGCGAGCCAACGGAGCACTGGGCTCAGCTGTGTGCCGCGAGGTGCGTCCGAGATTAGTGGGTGGATCCTGGGAGTTTTTTTTTTTTTCTAGGGAAAATCTATTAAAAAACCCCATAATAATAATATATATATATACATATACAGACATACAGACACACACACACATATATATATACATATATCATATATATATATATATCATGAATTTTTGTCAAACAAGGGTTTCGCGCGAAAATTTGCTGGAACGAATTCTGGGAAGAACCATTGAAGGCTTTAGATACTGAGAAGGAACAAAGATTTTGGGATGATCTTTCGGATTCTTGTTCTATGAGTTTACCTGTAGATATGCAGCCAGCTTTAGCAGTTGATGTAACATGATCCTCCAGGAGTGTGGCCGAAAAAGATCATTGCTGTAGCGACATGTTTCAGACTCCAGAGGTGGAGTTTGGTCTCTCATAAACATCATAAACCATTGGGCAACCACTAAAGTGAAGTATTTCTCTGAATGTAGAAAGTGCATGTTCTGATTCATTCCTGTCTTAAAGTCTCAAAACTGCGGGGTCCATGTCTATGATTTGTCCGTCAGAAAAATCAATAGATGTAATGTATAGTTTAAAGTTTAAAGGGTGTCATCTTTTGTCTTTCCATCGAAAACAACGATATTACTATTACCATGACATATCCTTAATTACGTTTTTCTGCTTCAATCTTTTATCCCAATCATTTTTGCCTCATGCCCACAATATACTTGACTCAGATTTTTTGTTACTGGTTGATAAAACAGATCTTAAATCCACACTTTTTGCTGTTAAAACCAGGTTAAATCAACATTTCTTGCTCCTGACATCCCTGACTTTCCATCTCCACAGGCGACGGCTGCAGGCTATGTGCTCCTGGTGCCGTGCTGCAAGCGTCCTTTGCGGCGCTACATAATGAGGCCAGGAAGTCAGGGCTCGCCGTTGAATCAAAAGTCGTGGTTCAAAAGTAGAGGGATGGAGGGATGGAGAATTTGTAAAACATGGCCATTGTTTGATTTCCAAGTTTCATGGTCACAGATATTAGGGCCGGAGCTTGAAAGCGATGGTTAGCATTGCGGGAACAAGGACTTGAAGCAGGGTCGTTTTTTTTTTGTATTCGACATTTCGAGATGAAGGATTCTCAATATCAATGAGTTCATGCATTGCAATAAGATTGTTTTTTCGGTGTGACGAATTCGTCAAGTACCCCTAAAATTGGCTGGACATATAGCACAATACCTGCATTTTAGGAACCTGTTTGTGCTTGAGACAGCCACCAACAGCGGGATAAGCAAGCAGGGCTGGAGTCTGCTGCGATTAGAAAAGATACAGAGATGGTCAATTCATTGTCAATTAAATCCCTATATCGAGGTGAATCTGCTGAGCTTGGTGGTATTTTCCAAACACATAGTTTGAACTATATTCCGCATGATGATCCCCAATGACAACGATTTGGGAAGGGGTGAAACCACCAACCAGGAGAAAGGAGGTGATAGACCAGACTCCAATTTATGAACTTAGATGATGTTTTTCTATCGATATCCGTATTAGGCCTCAGCTGTCAAGTAGCTGATATGCCTATGTAAGTGTTGTTGCAGGTAATATAGCTGCTAAGTATATAGCTGTTATATATGCTAAGTCTCGTTGACATCCTTTAGCTCTTAAGTAGTTGTTAGTAGCTGTTAAGTACCCTCCGATAATTTAACATAGCTTGGAACATCACCATTTCAATGTGTAAATCATCGAACAAACATGGACCATGTCTTCCATAGCTATGTTAAATTACCCAAGGGTACAACCCAAAATAGTTTGGTAGTTAGGAAATAGTGGGGATACATGGGAATACAATCGGAAAACATGAAGAAATCCTAATGGGAGCATATGTTGATTATAATATATATATGTATATAAAAATTATATAAATGTATGTCTATATATATATATATTATAA